AAATAAAAAGAAATAAAAGAAAACAAACCGAATTAAATGCGATTTCGAAACCTCCCGGGGGCTCTGCATGCGCGTTGGGGTGTATGTACAGCTGCTGTCGGCAGCGGCGTCTTTGCGTACACCGAAGAAACCGGAGACACAATTTTAATTAAAGATTTATTTGTCCACTCCGTTTGCGAACACCACTTGCTGCCTTTCCACGGCACTTGCTCCATTGCGTGCGCCTCCTGCTGCTGCTGCTGCTGCTGCTGCTGCTGCTGCTGCTGCTGCTCTTCAAACGGCTCTGCTGCTGCTGCTGCTGTTCAAACGGCTCTGCTGCTGCTGCTGCTGTTCAAACGGCTCTGCTGCTGCTGCTGCTGTTCAAACGGCTCTGCTGCTGCTGCTGCTGCTGAAACAGCTGTTTTGCTGCTGCGGCTGCTGCTTTTGCTGCCGTGGAAGCGCCTCTGCTGCTGCTGCAGTCCCACTGCTGCTGCTGCTGCTGCTGCTGCTGCTGCAGGTACCTGCCTAGACACCACATTTTGGGTTTGTCGAAGTTTGCGAAAATAATTGAGGTGTATGCACGCCGGCTGCAGCTGCAGGTGAATATCATTTATTGGAATTAATTCTTTTTTCATTCATCTTTTAATGAATTCTTTTATTCTTTTTTATTTTTATTTTTTCCAAATTTTAATTTTCTTTTTCTCCTTTTGTCTCCCCCTGCGAACTGAAGAGCTGAGATTTCGCAGCAGCATTTTTGTTTTCTTTTTTAGCTTTTATTTTTTCGTTTTTTGTCTGTTATTTATTTGTCTCCTTTTTAATTCTTTCTTTGTTTATTTTTCTGTCTCCTTTTATCTTTTTTGCTTCTTTTTTGTCTCTTTTTAGTCACTTTTATCTCTTTCTCGTTTTTATTTTTTCTCCTTTAAAATATCTTTTAATGTATTTTATCTTTTTTAAATCCTTTTTCGTTTATTTTATTTTTTTTTTAATCTCTTCTGGACCTGTTTTATCTTTTTAATTTTTTTTTAATTTTTTCAGTCTTTTTAATCATTTTAAATTTCTTTTTAAACAATTTTTGTCTTTTTGAATTTCTTTTTTGTCTTTTTGCTTTTCAGGAAAGATTAACTGCAGATGTGGCGAAGGCAATAGAAAGAGTAATTCACCCAAAGGGGGTTTTAGTCATCATGGAGTGCAGGTAACCCTAATTTAGGGTTTAGGGTTTAGGGTTTAGGGTTTAGGGTTTAGAGGTTCAATTTTGCCCTTTGGTGCTGTTCGCCTTAATTCATTTTAATTCATTTTAATTTATTTTAATTCATTTCATTTTAATTTATTTGAATTCATTTTAATGCAGTTTTATTCATTTTTATTTATTTTATTCCATTTAATTTAAATTCATTTTCTTTTTGAACTCATTTTAATTCATTTCAATTCATTTCAAATTCATTTTAATCCTTTCTACTTCATTTTAATACCTTTTCATTTATTTCAATTCATTTTAAATCAATTTAATTCATTTTATTTCCTTTTTAATTCATTTTAAGTATTTGATTTAATTAATTAATTAATTTATTTATTTATTTTTATATCATTTTTTATTTTATTGCAGACACTCTTGCCTGTCGAGTCGCTATTTGCCGGCAAATGACGCAAAGACAAAAACTATCTCCTCTTTGGGAGTTTTCAAGTAAGTAATTTAATTAATTTAATTAATTTAATTAATTCAATTAATTTAATTTAATTTAATTTAAATTAGTTAGTTTAATTAATTTAATCAATTTAATTCAGTTAATTCGATTAATTTGATTTGATTTGATTCAATTAATTCAATTGATTTGAATAAACTTCGGTGTATTTCAATCTGATTTAATTCACTTTAATTCAGTTCAGTTAACTAATTTTAATGTATTTATTTATTTTGTTTATTATTTATTATTATTTATTATTTATTAATATCCTTTCATTATTTAGTATTTTTTATTTATTATTTATTATTCATTTTTTATTTTATTTGTATTTTTATTTTTTATTTTTTTCAGGCAAGATCCATCTCTTCAAGCAGCTGCACTGTCCCTTTTGAATTAAATCAATTTTTTGGTTTTTCTTTATTTGTCTTTTATTAATTTCTTTATTTGTCTTTTATTAATTTCTTTATTTGTCTGTTATTTATTTCTTTATTTGTCTTTTTAATTTATTTCTTTATTTCTCTTTTTAATTTAGTTCTTTCTTATCTTTTCCTAGTTTCTTTATTTCTCTTTTTAATTTAGTTCTTTATTTCTCTTTTTAATTTATTTCTATATTTCTTTCTTCATTTGTTTCTTTGTTTCTTTCCTCATTTATCTATTTATTATTTCTTTATTTGTCTTTTTATTATTTCTTTATTTATTATTTCTGTATGTGCCTTTTATTATTTCTTTATTTGCTTCTTTTTGTCAGTTTATTTCTTCATCTGTCCATTTCAATTTCTTTGCTTTAATTCTTTGTCTGTCTTTTATTTATTTCTTTATTTATCTTTTATTAATTTTTTATCTTTCTTTTATTTGATGTCTTTATTATTTAACTTTTATTTAATTTCTTTATTTGCCTTCAATTGAATCTATTTCTTTCACTTATTTGTTTATTTCTTTTCAGTTATTTCGTTTATTTGTCTTCAATTTATTTCTTCATTTGTCTGTTTTATTTAATCACTTCTTCTAAATCAATTCCGCTATTTGTTTTCATTTTCTTCATTTCTTTTTAAATGTTTATTTGTCTTTAATTGTTTTCTTTATTTGCTTTTAACTTCTTTCTTATCTGACTTTGGTTTTTTTCTTTATTTGTCTTCAATTTATTTCTTTATTTATTCTTTTCTTTTTCTCAAATTCATTTCTTTATTTGTTTTCTTTATTTACTTTCTTTACTTGTCTTTATTTATTTTCTTGATTTATCTTGGATTACTTTATTTATTTGTCTTTATTTATTTGTCTTTATTTATTTTCTTGAATTATCTTTTTCTTAATTGCTCTCTTTAATCTTTAATTATTTTCTCGATTTGTCTTCAATTAATTTGCTTTTTTTAATTTGTCTTTATTGATTTAGCTCTATATCTTAATTTGTCTTGGATTAATTTGTCTTTATTTATTTATATTCATTTATTTATGTTTATTTACATTTATTTATATTATTCAATTTCTAAATTTGTCTTATTTAATTTGTGTTTATTTTTGTCTCCACCTTTTTAATTTCTTCGGAGACAAAAAGTCTTGAGGGACAAAAGGAGACAGGGAGCTGCAGCAAACCAAAAAGACCATTTCGCATTTTGTTTATTTCAGTGAATAAAAGAAATGAATTAATTAAAATAAATAAATAAATAAATAAATAAGGAACTAAATAGGTTAATTGGAAGAGAAATAGAGAGAAGAAGCAGACAGAAAAGACCAGCAGCAGCAGCAGCAGCAGCAGAAGCAGCAGCACTAGCAGCAGCAGCAGCAGCAGCAGCAGCACTAGCAGCAGCAGCAGCAGATATAAGGAGAGACAAAAGGAGAAAATAGATGGAAATACAAAGGCCCTTTCTTTCGCTTTTTTTGAGGGTTTAGGGTTTTATTCTTTTTTATTATTTTAAGAGAAAATGCAAATCAAAAGCAGCAAATTAATTCCGCCGGAATCCTAAACCCTAGAAGCGGGACTAGTGCATTGCTTCCTTCGGATTTAAAACCTGAATTAGGGTTTAGGGTTTAAGGTCCGAAAGTCTGTGTTAAGGAGTTATTTTGCTTTATTTGAGGATTAAAATAAGCCAGTTAGGGTTTTGCGAGATCCTGGAATTAAAAACAATTAAATTAAATGAGTAAACGTAAACGGAAAAGGGAAACGGCCGCGAAGGCAGTTCAAGTGTACGTACAGCTGAAACGCCCAAAGACTCCAAAAACGGAAAACGCTAAAAAGGGAATTATTTGAGAAAAATAAAACGCGACTTTATTTCTTTTCAACTTATTATTCCCTTTTTCTTTCAATTTTCCGCTTTTTTGGGCTTTTTCGCCGAAGATCGGAGCCTTTCTGGCCGCGTTCACGTTCTTGAATCCGCAGCGGCGAAACGGCTGCGCGCAGTGGAAAGCAGCCGGGAAACTGCGGAGATCTCGTTTTGTCTTTTTGCATTTATGCATTTGAATTAATTTGCAATTCAATTTCTTTCTTTTTCCTTTTCTTTGCCCGCTGCCGCAGCAGCCGCGAGGCCGATGCTTGGCGGGGGCCCCTCAGCTCAGCCGGCGCGGAAAGCTGCGGGAAAAGTCCGTTTTCTTCGCTTTTTCTCTTCTTATTTGTTTTATTTCACTAAATATTTCCAAAATATATTTTTTTAAGTGCCTTTTGTTAGCGTCTTCCGCCATTTTCAAGCTGCTTTCCCCCCGGTGTCTGCGCAGCTTCGTTCGAGCCGCCGCCCTTCTTGCAAATTCAAAAACGGAATTTTCGCCTTTTTACCCCTCTTAACAAAACCAAGAGAAAAAGGTATTTCCGCAATTTGTTTTATCTTTTCAACATCTTTCATTTCCCCCAACTCTCCACCCTGGCTCTGCTTTTTCAGAATTGCGCTGAGACCCTAGCAGCAGCAGCAGCAGCAGCAGCAGCAGCAGCAGCAGCGGCAGCAGCAGCAGCAGCAATCGTGGGGGCGTCTGCTCAAGCAGTGGGAACGGCACAGAGTCTCCAGCAGCTGCAAAAGCTGCAGCTCCAGCAGCAGCTGTTGCTGCAGTTGCTGCAGCAGCAGCAACTCAAACACACTCAGCAGCAGCAGGTGCTGCTGCTGCTGCAGCAACGGCTACAGCGTCATCAGGCCTCGCTGCTGGAGCCGCAGCCAAACGAAGCGCAACAGCAGCAGCTGCTGCTGCTGCAACAGCCGCAGCAGCAGCTGCTGCTGCTGCTGCAGCACTAGGGAGGCCCTCCTGGGGCTGCTGAGTCTCTGAACTGCTGCAGCAAGCTGCTTCTTTGGTTTCTATTCTTTTATTCCCGTGTCTTGTCTTCTTCACAGCAGCAGCAGCAGCAGCAGCAGCAGCAGCAAA